GGGCTGGCTGTGGGCAGGGGGTGCGACCAGGGGGCTGGCTGTGGGCAGGGGGTGCGACCAGGGGGCTGGCTGTGGGCAGGGGCTGGCTGCGGGCAGGGGGTGCGACAGGGGCTGGCTGTGGGCAGGGTGGTGGGTACTCACACGGGGAGAGGGGCTGGGAGCAGCCCGAGCAGCAGGACGCAGCCCGGGCCTAGCAGAGCAGCTGGGAACCCACCAGGTAGCAGCAGGAGCCCCAGGGCCAGAGGTCCAAGGAGCAGCAGCAGCAACAGGGCCAGGAGGCAGCCCACATGACTCCTGCAGCGCAGCACCCCCGGCGGCCAGGAGGAGGAATTACACGCTTCCCGTCCAGAGCCCATCAAAGCTTCCCTCGTAGGGAAGCCAGTTAACGAGCGGTTCTAAAACCGCTTCAAAATTTAACAACCGGTTCGTGCGAACTGGCTCCAGCTCACCCCTGGGGGCAGCCCAGGCCCCTGCTGCTGCTGCTGGAGGGAGGGCTGCTCAGGTGGCCCTGGGGTCAGCTGCAACAGCTGCTGCAGCTGCAGAGGTCATGGTGGTCCCGGAAAGTCACGGAATCCGTGACTTCCATGACCTCCATGAAAGACTTGCAACCTTACTCATGATTATTCATGCCTTTGTCACTTCAAGATTGGATTACTATAATATGCTGTACATGGGACTATATTTTAAGATTACTTAAAAACTTCACTTGGTGCGGAATGCCTGCTTGTTAAGTAGTGCCTATCAGAGAGAGCGCATCATACCTGTGTCATCCAATCTGCACCAGCTTTTGGCTTGTTTCCAGGTGTAATTTATGGTGTTGGGTTTTAACTTATATTATCCCTATATGGTTGGCAGCTGTGGGTACCTCTGAAGCCACCTGACTCCTCATGTGATACTATGCCAATTGAGATAAGCTAAGACTCTTAAACTATGATCCCCCAGTGTTAAGTGGAAGGGGGCTGGTATGAAGCGTCTTTTCAGTGAGATATCTTCTACTTTGCATTTGCTTTCCCACAAATTTGCATCATCAGTTACAAAAACCTAGACCTCTGTTTTTATCTTTGGCGGGGGTTTTTAGGTGCAGCCAAGTCTAGTGGTAATTCTTGAGTTCAAACTGTTAAATGAAAGAAGAAATCTAACAAACCCCAGGAAGTAAGATAAGCCTTAGCACTTTTAAGAAAATATATATTTAAAATAAGCCTTGTGATTAAATATCTTCATTATTTCTTTCAGCCAAATTACTAATTTAACAATCCACTTTTACTAATATGATTGTAAAGGTTTTTATCAAGTTTATTTTAAAGCACTTTTGCATTTTTCTAAAGCATGAATAAAAACATTTTAGGATGTTTCAGATTGCACATTTTAAAACTACATTCAAAACTTTACCAAATGCCCCGAGGGCTTAGTAAAATTGAGATTTTTATATGTGACTTGGCTCAGACCATGCGGAAACAAAAATATTGCAGCCCATTGCAGTTCAGTATCTGTGGTGGAGAGTACATGCTATTTTTTTGTCTTTCTTCAGTGTTCTTGTGTGTTCTACTTGATCGTCTGTTTTGCTCCTAGGGTCCATATCAGGATACGCTGGAGTTTCTGTTTGGCAGTAGGGATGAGTGTAAAAACTTCTGGAAAATCTGTGTGGAATATCACACTTTCTTCAGGCTCTTTGATCAGCCGAAACCAAAGGCTAAAGCAGTCTTCTTCAGCAGAGGGTCTTCATTCAGATACAGGTATGGCATAGCATAACTCAGCATATTTATAAAACACAACTTTTTATAGTTAGGAAATTAAATCATGATGAAAAAGTGCTTTAACGTAATTCACTGAAGTTAAAAGTTTCAGAATCTGTTCCTGATGCATAAACATTCTTTGTTCCAAACCTGGACATTTTTATCTACTCCTTTCATGATGATTTTTATAATATTGGTACTTTGCTTGGGTTCACAGTGGACGAACACAGAAACAGCTGGTGGATTATGTTAAAGACAGTGGGATGAAGAAAACTCCCTATGAAAGGTAAAACCCATGATTTTTAAAAGGTAAAGTTGAGACTCTTGGAAGCCCCTATGTTGAGATCCTAAATCTCACTTTTAATGAAATTGCTGCTTTGAGACATTTCTTTTTTTAATTATAAAATTATAAGGAACTGAGGCACAGAGAGGCTAAGTGACTTGCCCAAAGTCACACAGGAAATCTGTGGCAGAGCAGAGACTTGAAATTGTATTCTACCTTTGATTTATTTTTTGAATTTCTCTCTCTCAAGTGTGCACACACACTCTAACTACTAGTAGGAAATGTTTCAAAGAGATATCATCCTTCCTTTCAGTTAGGGCTACCATATGTCCGGATTTCCCCGGACATGTCCGGCTTTTCGGTCTATAAATAGCCATCCGGGGGGGATTTTTAAAAATCTAAAAATGTCCGGGATTTCCCCCCGGTCGGCTATTTATAGACAGAAAAGCGGCGGCCAAGCGCCGCTGGGCACCCAAAGCCCCTTCCCAGCTCCCCCCATCCCCTGCAGCCTTACCACGCTGTCCGGCCCTGCAGCTGTCTTCCCCTGAACGCTCCGCCCACCTGCTCCTCCCCCTCCCCTGCTTCCGCGAATCAGATCTTCGCGGGAAGTCTGAAAAGAAGCAGGGGCAAGCGGGAGGCAGCAGCAGGTAAGCTGGGGTGGAGGGGCGCGAGGAGGAGAGCTCCGGGGAGGCATGGCCCGGGCCGAGCGGCGCCCAGCGGCTCCGGCCCAGCTCGGGCCCCAGCGGCTCCGGCCCCGGTTCCGACCCAGGGCGGCGACCCCGGCTCGGGCCCCAGCACCCCCGGCCCGGCCCGGCTCAGGCCCCAGCAGCGCTGGCCCTGGTTCTGGCCGAGCGCGCCAGCCCCGGCCCAGCTCGGCCCCCAGCAGCGCCGGCCCTGGTGCCGGCCCAGCCCCGGCCGAGCACCTCTGGCCGGGCTCCAAGCCCCGCAACCCCGGCCGGAGTGCAGCCCGATTCCTGGGCTCTTTAAAGCCGGCCTGGGACAGGGAGGGGGGGTCGGATGAGTTGGGAGTTTGGGGAGGGGGCTGTCATGGGGGCAGGGGTGTGGAGAGGGGTTGGGACAGTCAGGGACAGGGAGCAGGGGGGGTTAAATGGGTCTGGGGTTCTGGGGGGGCTGTCAGGGGGCCAGGGGTGTGGAGAGGGGTTGGGACAGTCAGGGACAGGGAGCAGGGGGGGTTAGATGGGTCTGGAGTTCTGGGGGGGCTGTCAGGGGGGCAGGGGTGTGGAGAGGGGTCGAGGCAGGCAGGTAGCAGAGGGGTTTGGATGGGTCAGGAGTTCTGGGGGTCCTGTCAGGGGGCGGGGAGCAGTTGGATAGGGCATGGGAGTCCCCGGGGGTCTGTCTGGGGGCGAGGGTGTGGATAAGGGTCGGGGCAGTCAGGGGACAGGTAGGGTCGTAGGGGGTTCTCAGGCGGGGGCAGTCAGGGGACAAGAAGCAGGGCGGCTTAGATGGGGGTGGGGTCCTAGGGGGCAGTTAGTGGCAGGGGTCCCAGGAGGGGGCAGTCAGGGGACAAGGAGCGGGGGGGGGGTTGGGGGTTCTGGGGGGGACAATCGAGGTGGGAAGTGGGAGGGAGTGGATGGGGGCGGGGCAGGGGCAGGGCTAGAGCGGGGCTCCTCCCCCCCCCGTGTCCTCTTTTTTGCTTGTGGAAATATGGTAACCCTATTTCAGTCCATGTGGTTTTCTTGGGTGTGTATGGTTTACATGAGTTAGTTAGAAAATACATTCCAAAGGCAGTTTTCACAAAATGAGAAAAGGTCTACGGGACATTAATCTGAGTGATAAAAAGATGGAAAATTCCATAAAAAATGTATATTAACTCTTTGCACTTCTGATCAACTTCCTGTCTTGAGCAGGGATTTTCTAATTAAAAACGGTTACGTGTGGATCAAATCACCAGCTTGTATAATTTATAAAAAGGGCTTTTTTAAATGGAAAATGGGTACTATTACATGCCACGTATTGTATACAGTTAACTGACAATGTACTTTGCATAAGTGTTGCACATGAATTTACTTGCTCTCTGTTTTGACACCATATTAATTTATGGATATCTGTGTGCTTTGATGAAGAGGAATTTTTTTTAAAAGAACAGACACTTTTATGCTGTCTCATTCTTCTATTCTCCCATGCCCTGGCAGTTGCTTTTGCGTTCTCCTTTGAAGACATGAATGGTCTGAATCTAATGTTTCTGTTTTCTGTAATGATCTTGCTTCTGTGTTTTGTAGTAATTCACAAATATTTCATGTGCTTGCTGTACCTTCCTTTAGTCATTGCTGAAAGGGGGATATAACATAGAATCATAGAATATCAGGGTTGGAAGGGACCTCAGGAGGTCATCTAGTCCAACCCCCTGCTCAAAGAAGGACCAATCCCCAACTAAATCATCCCAGCCAGGGCTTTGTCAAGCCTGACCTTAAAAATCTCCAAGGAAGGAGATTCCACCACCTCCCTAGGTAACCCATTCCAGTGCTTCACCACCCTCCTAGTGAAACAGTTTTTCCTAATATCCAACCTAAACCTCCCCCACTGCAACTTGAGACCATTACTCCTCGTTCTGTCATCTGGTACCACTGAGAACAGTCTAGATCCATCCTCTTTGGAACCCCCTTTCAGGTAGTTGAAAGCAGCTATCAAATCCCCCCTCATTCTTCTCTTCTGCAGACTAAACAATCCCAGTTCCCTCAGCCTCTCCTCATAAGTAATGTGCTCCAGCCCCCTAATCATTTTTGTTGCCCTCACTGGACTCTTTCCAATTTTTCCACATCCTTCTTGTAGTGTGGGACCCAAAACTGGACACAGTACTCCAGATGAGGCCTCACCAGTGTTGAATAGAGGGGAATGATGGGCACTACATTAGCCTTTTTCCAGTCATCCGGGACCTCCCCCGATCGCCATGAGTTTTCAAAGATAATGGCCAATGGCTCTGCAATCACATCCGCCAACTCCTTTAGCACCCTCAGATGCAGCGCATCTGGCCCCATGGACTTGTGCTCGTCCAGCTTTTCTAAATAGTCCCGAATCACTTTTCTCCACAGAGGGCTGGTCATCTCCTCCCCATGCTGTGCTGCCCAGTGCAGTAGTCTGGGAGCTGACCTTGTTCGTGAAGACAGAAGCAAAAAAAGCACTGAGTTACATTAGCTTTTTCCACATCCTCCCTCATTCAGTAAGGGGCCCACACTTTCCTTGACTTTCTTCTTGTTGCTAACATACCTGAAGAAACCCTTCTTGTTACTCTTAACATCTCTTGCTAGCTGCAACTCCAAGTGTGATTTGGCCTTCCTGATTTCACTCCTGTATGCCTGAGCAATATTTTTATACTTCTCCCTGGTCATTTGTCCAATCTTCCACTTCTTGTAAGCTTCTTTTTTGTATTTAAGATCGGCAAGGATTTCATTGTTAAGCCAAGCTGGTCGCCTGCCATATTTACTATTCTTTCTACACATTGGGATGGTTTGTTCCTGTAACCTCAATAAGGATTCTTTAAAATACAGCCAGCTGTCCTGGACTCCTTTGTCCCTCATCTTATTCTCCCAGGGGTTCCTGCCCATCAGTTCCCTGAGGGAGTCAAAGTCTGCTTTTCTGAAGTCCAGGGTCCGTATTCTGCTGCTCTCCTTTCTTCCTTGTGTCAGGATCCTGAACTGGACCATCTCATTGTCACTGTCTCCCAGGTTCCCATCCACTTTTGCTTTCCCTACTAATTCTTCCCTGTTTGTGAACAGCAGGTCAAGAAGAGCTCTGCCACTAGTTGGTTCCTCCAGCACTTGCACCAGGAAATTGTCCCCTATGCTTTCCAAAAACTTCCTGGATTGTCTGTGCACCGCTGTATTGCTCTCCCAGCAGATATCAGGGTGATTGAAGTCTCCCGTGAGATCCAGGGCCTGTAATCTAGTAACTTCTGTTAGTTGCCTGAAAGCCTCGTCCACCTCATCCCCCTGGTCTGGTGGTCTATACCAGACTACCACCATGACATCACCCTTGTTGCTCACACTTCTAAACTAAATCCAGAAACTCTCAGGTTTTTCTGCAGTTTCATACCGGAGCTCTGAGCAGTCATACTGTTCTCTTACATACAATGCAACTCCCCCACCTTTTCTGCCCTGCCTGTCCTTCCTGAACAGTTTATATCCATCTATGACAGTACTCCAGTCACGTGAGTCATGTGCCAGGACTTCCAGTTCTCCCTGCTTGTTTCCCAGGCTTCTTGCATTTGTGTATAGGCACTTAAGATAACTTGCTGATCATCCCGCTTTCTCAGTATGGGACAGGAGTCCTCCCCTCTTGTGCTCTCCTGCTCGTGCTTCCTCCCGGTATCCCATTTCTCCACTTACCTCAGGGCTTTGGTCTCCTTCCCCCGGTGAACCTAGTTTAAAGCCCTCCTCACTAGGTTAGCCAGCCTGCTTGCAAAGATGCTCTTCCCTTTCTTCGTTAGGTGGAGCCCTTCTCTGCCTAGCACTCCTCCTTCTTGGAACACCATCCCATGGTCAAAGAATCCAAAGCCTTCTCTCCAACACCACCTGCATAGCCATTGTTGACTTTCACGATTTGACGGTCTCTACCTGGGCCTTTTCCTTCCACAGGGAGGATGGACGAGAACACCACTTGTGCCTCAAACTCCTTTATCCTTCTTCCCAGAGCCATGTAGTCTGCAGTGATTCACTCAGTATCATTAGTGCCCATGTGGAGAAGCAGGAAGGGGTAGTGATCCAAGGGCTTGATAAATCTCGGCAGTCTCTCCGTCACATTGTGAATCCTAGCTTCTGGCAAGGAGCAGACCTCTCGGTTTTCCTGTTTGGGGCGAGAGATAGATGACTCAGTCCCCCTGATTAGGGAGTCCCCGACCACCACCACCCACCTCCTTCTCTTGGGAGCAGTAGTCGTGGGACCCCCATCCCTAGGACAGTGCATCTCATGCCTTCCAATCGGTGGAGTCTCCTTCTGCTCCCTTCACTCAGATGTATCATCTAGTCCACTCTCCGAATTAGTACCTGTGGAGAGAACATGAAAATGGTTGCTCACCTGTATCTGCATTGCTGGTACATGGACGCTCCTCTTTCTTCTTCTGGAGGTCACATGCTGCCAAATTTCTTCACCATCCTTCTGTCCCTGCTGCGCAGCCTGCTCTGATTCTTCAGAATGTTGTGCCTGTAGAAGCATATCCTGACATCTGTCCAGGAAATCTTCATTTTCTCTTATGCAACAATACTCCAGACCTCGAACCTTCTCTTCCAATATGGAGACCAGCTTGCACTTTGTAAAGACAAAGTCGCTTCTGTCCTGTGGAAGAAAGACAAACATGGCACATCCTGTGCAGGTAACAGCTGAACGCTCACCATCCATATTTCCTTCCTTCTAAGAGCTTCCTCAGCTGTTACAGTAACTACTCAGAGAAGCCTGCAAGATGAAAGCCTCAGGGCGCTCTCCCCAGGCAAACTCCCTCTGTTAGCCTCTGCTGTTTGCCACTCAGTTGGTCCGCTGCTGACTGCCTTTCTATAACAGTCAGGCCCACCTGGATCAAAGCACTCCCAATTCACACTTTTCAAACATCTTTTTACTCTTTTGCATGGGTGGGTAGAATGAGTGAGATTGGGTAGGGGGAGGAGAAAGGCTGATTGATTTCTTAGTTCCTCACAGCATACTCTCTCTCTTTCAGGAGGCACAGCAAAGCTAGAGTGTCTGCTCATACTTCAAACACAGATGTGCCAAAACAGGTTAGTCCTGCACCACTCTAAATATTATGTTCAGTAAGACTGACAGCCAGCTTTCCAATTTGGCAGTGTAGGGAAAGTTGATTACGTTGTCTTGTTGATCCAGAATCATTTTCACTGTTTGATCTTCATGCTGTGCATAATTTTTTTCCTGTGGAACTAATTTTAATGGGTACTGCAGGTAGGTTGAAGTGACTCACATGGCTCATCTTTCACACTTCACATAGTTTAAAAGAAATTTTCATACTTATTCCTTGAGATACTCAGTCCTGTTCATGTGTCTCAGATCAAATGTCTCTGTCATACAAGCAAAAGGAGTTGTGCTGAAGCAAGCACTTCAGAACTTGACCCTAAATATTTTGTGAATTCCCTCCAATACCCTTGTGTGTATTTCCTTGTTTGCTCTGTTAGCGGAGGGTTTAAAAATGATGGGAGTAATTTGATAACTGATCATGAGAAGTTGTAAAAGGTGAGTTTTTATCTTTCTGGAGATTTTGGTCTTTTTCTGTATATAAAGCTGTATTTGCAGAAAATCTTTCTAGTACACACTTTTACTGAGTCAGATATCAGAGGTAGTATTTTTTCTATGTATGATAAATACACTTTTTTACCTATTCTATTTTTTTTCCACTTCAGAGTGTCTCATTTACTGAGGGCTTAGGTGCTCCTGGGTCCCATGCCTCAGTATCTGCCTCCTTCCATTCAGTTTATACATCATCCACTACCACTACTGACCTGCCCATCTGTACAGAGACGAATCATTCCTTCTTGGACCCCAGAGCACCGTGTATGAGGAGTCCAACAGTAGAAAAGAGTATTGCAACACCAACTGAAGAAACTGGGAAGAAGGCGACACAGCAGCCTGGATCTCCCATACTCCAATCATTCCAAGGTGTTGGGTTTTGTAATGTTGTAGGAAACTGCAGCCCCACTTATACTGGTGTTGAGAGTAGTTGTGGTTTAGATCTAGAAATAGAGAAGGGTAACAAGGAGAGCAAGGTTATCTGTAAAAATGACAATGATGAGGATGACTTTATCACAGGTGTTTTTATTGCTGATAAAAAGCATCAGTATTGTGGTAGGGGTGACCCTCTTTTCACATTGACGAACTCCCAGCTGCAGGTTTCAGAAGAATTTATTGATGATGACCCAACAGAAATCTCCTTTTTTGCTGGGGGATCTGAAGCATTTTCATATGTGTACAGTGGCTTAGACCAAATGGGGTCTGATTTATCTAGGCATGCATCAGATTCAGCTAAACTAACTAAGGATGTTCTTCAGCGAAGTATGGTGTCTTCTCAGTCAAGCCCTGACAGATACTCCACAGAAGCAGTAGATATGAACATGGAAGATGAGTTTGAATTTGAAGAAGGGAGTGATTTCAATGGCAATGAGAGACCATCAGATACATCGGAATTGTTTGAGGTTAAAGCACAAGCAAGCAGAATGCAAAGCCTTTTGAGTCCTTCTGAAACCAGTTCACTCATAAACAACCGTTCTGAAAGCAGTTCCCTCAATAATTTGCCACTGAATGGTACATCATCCTTTCACACGTATAGCTCTGCTAATCATTCTGAAGCTAGTTCTATGGTTAACTTCCCAGCCTACTCGGTTCGCTCTGAATCCAGCTCAGCCTTTCAGTTCACTGACATCATTGACCAGTTGGAGCAGCTGAGCTATCCACTTACCACTACAGAAGACTCTACCAGTACAGATACAGACTCCTGGGATTCGGAAAGTGCAACTCCAATGGATGTAAACCACTTCTTCAGCAACCCCTTTGCTCAGGCAACTGGCGAGAACTTCACTTTTGATTTTCAGAATAATTTAAAGAATCTTGCCCAAGAAGATCAAACAGGAAAAACGCACATCAATAATTGATTGGTAGTTTGAAGTTTGAGGTATCCAGCTATGCTGCTCGAACTAGGTTTCAATTCAGAGGTATAATTTAAATCATTTTTGAGGTGGAAAACTATTTTATTTCAGTGGCTGGATTTTAATTTGCATAATATAGTTGATTCCTGTTTCTCGCCTCCTCTTTATTTTCCCTTGAAGTATCCCAGCTTTGTTATTGCATTATATTGAAATGTGTGTCCAGAAAGTCTATAACCAGCTGTGATTTATGCAAAATGCCAAATTTAAAAAACTTCAGAAAGGCTAATATTGTCAGTTGGGCCAACCAGAATTAAGAAAAATTATAGTCCTATTATACCTTACTTTCTCGGAAACATGTTTGTATGTCAGATTTAGTCTGGTGTGCACTTTCTCTGACATCAGCACGAGATGCTGCCGCTTGTAGGTCAGTTGTTAACAGACCACATCCAATACATAGGTTGTGATCCTGCAATGCAGTAAGAGTCTGTGCTGTTTCTTGAGACAAAGATGGACAATCTGTGAATCAACTGTGAAGATAATTCTTAAAATGTCAAGTTTATGCAACAAAAATCTGGCATACACCTCAAAGAATCAAAATCTTAGATGGCAATTTAGAAGAGGAGCATGTGTACAGGAGCAAATGCATGCTGAGCATCATCTGATCTACCCCTGAAGAGGATTGTTGAACAGTCCAGCAATGAACAAATTCCCTGCTGTTTTGCCGCTGTTTGGAGGGAGACACATAGATTATAAAGGCACTTAACTCCTTATTGAACTTTCTCATCTTCTTTGTCTTAATTTAATCAATTACACTGCCGAAAAATGGCTGCAACTTAATTTAATTAAGGCATATAAAACTTGCTTGGTCTGGGAGAAATGCTAAAAGATAAATCAGGCAATAGCTGTCTTTAATTTAAACTCTGCACTGTATTCAGCAGAATGCTATTGAAATAAGATGGCTCCTTTCAGGGAAATAAAGACTTGATCTAAAATTTAAAAAAGAAAAAGAAAAAAAGTGAATACCATCAGCCACTGTTTTATCTTCACTGCTTTCATAGGCATTTTTAGATAGGTGACTTTATGTAACATGATTCATAGTGAAGGTGTAATTGAAAAGGTGTAATTATAGATTTCAGTGATTATATCCATTGTACTGATTCATTAAATTAGTGATGGTGGAGGTTATCAAACTTACTTGCTCTCAGTCCACCTAATAGATATTCTTGGTAGGGGCTGGAATTCTGAGATGCAAAATTTTGAGGGCCTTGTGCAAGAAGCAAGTTTAAAATAAAAAATATCCCTGTAGCAGGTTTGGGGTCAAAAACATCGCCTCTTGAGGCAATTTGGTTTACATTCCGTGTGGTCCAGATTCTGAACCTGCCTTTCCTAAATGGGGTAACAGTGCAATATCACTTCATTGGATTCCCTCTAAAATAAACAGGTGCATAAATTAGCATAATTAATTTGTTCATACTGTGCTTTCCATTAATGTTTATATGCTGTTTCCTGGGTAAGGGACTGATGTATTGAAAAGGAACCTTCATACTTGGTAGGCCACTTAAAAATCTCTTAAGGAATCCTGATGAAACATTACAAGGAAAGTTCTTTCAATGTGCAATAAAACTTAATGGGGTAATTGTCCCTCATTCACTTATTTTTTTCTTGTTTGTAGTCTATTCTAACTATTTCCTCTATAGACATGATCATTCTTTAAAGCAGGGCTGGCCAACCTGTGGCTCCAGAGCCACAAGCGGCTCTTCAGAAGTTAATATGTGGCTCCTTGTATAGGCATCGACTCCAGGGCTGGAATTACAGGCGCCAACTTTCCAATGTGCTGGGGGGTGCTCACTGCTCAACCCCTGGCTCTGTCACAGGCCCTACCCCCAGTCCACCCCTTCCTGTCCCCTCCCCTGAGCCTGCCATGCCCTTGCTCCAACCCCCCCCCCCCCCCCCCCCCCCCCCCCGCCCCCAAACAGCTGATGGGGGGGGGGGGGGGGGCGCTGATAGATGGGGCTGCTGGTGGGTGGGAGGTGCTGGGAGCGGGTTGGGGGAGCTTATGGGGGGCTGCTGACGTATTACTGTGGCTCTTTGGCAATGTACATTGGTAAATTCTGGCTCCTTCTCAGGCTCAGGTTGGCTACCCCTGCCTTAAAGCATTCAGTATGTGTACTCATTCCATGCATTGTGTTTGAGTGGAATCCCTATTGTTGCACTAGGAAGTGTCCGAAGTTTGCATTTGCTGACTGGCATTAGAAAATCAAAGCATACCTATAATACCATATGGTGAAGTATTAGCTGTGCCATTTTTCAAGTGTTTGTGGCTGTTCTGTTTCTTTAAATGGCAGTTCTCTCTCTCTCTCTCCCCTCCCCCCCCCCTATGGTAATCATTTTGCCTCTTGTTGACTTGATTTCTATTTGTGGAAATGTCAGAAATATGGAATATGGCATCAGTAAATAGGCAGCTGGAGGAGACAAACTTTTTGTTGTTTGGCTATCCCACCAAGCTGTTACTGGTCATGCTATAATTAGTTTATTTTTCCATTATGTAACTTGAAAAAGGCTTTAATTGGAGAACTCTCTTTTAGCGGGATGGAGAGTGGGAGGCAAGTCTTTGGATAGTAATATGGGCAGGGACAATTTCTGATTCTTTTGAAAAACTCCAAGATATTAAAGGTTAAAAATTGCCGTTTGTCTATATGTAGGACTTTGTTACAAGGGCTTTCCTAAGGATTGACTGAGTCTAATGTATTTTAACGCCCCCTCTTCTCCCCCCCCCCCCAGTTCTACTCCAAATTCTCTTTATAATCATATATGAAAGCTTACTAATATTTTTTTCTTGAGATGTAGTTAGTCTTAAAAAGGTAGTTGTAAACTTTTCTACCCCATCTGCACTTTGCAATCCTGTGTATCTTTTAATGGCAATTACAAACCCCAGGGCTTTTTTAAAAACCAAAAGGTAATGCTTTAATTTAAACTCATGCTTCATTCTTGAAAGATACCATAATGACTGGATTCCAGCTCTTGATTCTTTGGCTTCTAGCATGAGACAGGTAGGCAATTTTTGGCAAAAAATATTTAATCCATTCAAAAAATATTTTTAGTGAAGCATAACAGCAGGTAAGTCATTTTTACTTCCACAGCATCTGACTCCATTTTCTTTCCGAAAACAGGGGTTGGGAATATTCTGATAAGGACATGCTGATCAAAACCACACAAGCAGAACTAAAAGGCAGCATCCAGCTGCTAAGATAGCACACTAGAGTGGGCAACAGGTATTTCTCCTTTTACATTCTCCTCCAGAAAGCTGGGATATGGGAGACAGAATGGGGAAACACTCTTCTAATGCTGACCTAAATACCGTAAGGGGGCTAGGTAACCAAAACTTAAGTTTTGTCTAGCAGACTGATGGAGGGACTTCAAACCCCTGTGCTATTGGTGGGGGGAGAGGGAGATGTTTCTCTTATGGTTTTTATAATGCCATCAATCATCCTAGTATCTGAATGCCTCCATGTAAAATCAATTAGCAGTACAAAGTCCCAAATTAATGTTATAATCTCTGGTTCTTTTCCCTTTTTCTTTTTTTTTTTTTTAGTATACAAACTTGGCTTGGGGTAGGGTTGTGTGTTTGTTTAATTTTAGTTAATCTTGAGAGGTTTTGTGTGTTGTTTTTGGGCGCAGGTAGAAAGGGGATGTTAGTGTTGTAGTGTCTTGTTGTGACAGGCTTTGTCAAAGAAGAATGTTTTGTAGCATTTCCTACAGATGGTCAGACTTCAGATTCACTTAATCTTGCTGATCTATTCCCAGGGGGGAGAGAGCCTCTCAGAAGCATCCTCATGGGTGGTGCAAAGATACAGTCCTCTTCTAGAGAGATTATTGGATTCAGTGCCTTTCAGCAGTCGAGGTGTCAGTTCTAGCATAGGCCACTGTTGCTACCTACCTAGCTCTTTTCCCTGGCAGCAGTCACAGCATCCTGCCACACCTACTCCTCTCCCCATGGAGGTGTCTCTGGTTGGACCA